GTCTTGGTCTATGTGTGGTCTTCTTGATTACTGCTTTAGCTCTCATCCTGTGGGGTAGTCCAAAGAAATCCTTATCTCTTGAGGGGACAAGGTGTGGTTCTCAAGAGGTGCAGACTTGCCCTCCTGAATAAGTGCCTTCATGTGGGAGGGCAGTGCTTTATTTTGTGAAATTTTGCTTTTTGGAATTCAAGGTGACTATACATTTAGGTGAATGACTTGTCTCTTTCCTTGAAGAAGAATGAGACAGGTTAGACAGCCATTTCGAGAGAGAGAGTAATATGCCAACCTGTAGAGGTAAGCAGGTGACCCAAATTAAGAGGACAGATATGAAATAAAGTCAGAGATGTCAAGCTTTTATTTTGCATTTATTACTTGTGGGCCCAAGTGAAAAGTCAGTGATTTTTTATTAAAAGAAAATCAGCTTCTAGGTGCCTGTTTCTGTTCCATGGCTCTGTACCAAGAAAACTATGCCCAAATCATGCCACAGAATTGGTTTGGTGAATATGCTATTATCTTTGTAGCTGGATGCCAGATGCTGCCACTTGAAATTCTGATATTTCCACCATTAAGCCTTATCCCCTCTTGCTAGAACTAATGCCATTGCTGCTTCTACCATCAGGCACCAGATTGGATTCTGTATGATTTGTTGTCTGCACTAGGCTACCAGCTATGCTAGCGGCCAGTAAACAAAGGGGTTGATCATTGAAAAAAACCAAGGCTAGTTGCTGAGGCTGTGAGTGATCTTTGCTGATCTGCTTGCGACTACAACCTCAGCCAGGTGGTTGGAGGCCACTGGGGAAGAGATGAGTTCCTGAGGATCTGTGCTGGGTGAACCCTCGGCTTGCTGCACCTCTCCCTTTTTTTCTTTAACCGCTTTCTGTGGGTGCTGGACATAAAGTGTGGTACCAAGTGATTGACTATGAGCACCATCCCCATCTCAGGTCCCCCTTAACTATCTCAATTTACTCTGTTTTCTATTCTAGAACCATCTATAAATAGAATGTATTTACAGTCCAAGGAAAGGAGTTTGGTTTTATAGCCATAAGAGCTCGAAAAAAGCAGAAATCAAAACCGAGTAGATTGGGAATTTCAAAGTTACTGTCCTTGTAAGGTGGGGATAGAGAGCCAGGACAATAGGCAAATAACTGATTAATGACCATCAGGTAATTTGTTTTATGTAAGGATTAGGAGTAAGCTGGAGAGAACTTCATTATCACACCAATTGAAACTGGTCAGTCTGGGAAATTTGGCTGTTATCTGGCTAACTTTTCAAGGACTTTAACTTTTTTTGAATATAAAATTTTAAAATGTTGAACTCAGGGGTTTGCTCATGCTAAGTGTTAAAAATAAAAACATAGGTCCAAGGATACCACCAATATCACACAAAAAACATATGAACAAAACAAAAGTCATTTGACAAGGCAGATTTTACTTTTGCAAGAGGACACTGTACCATGGTCAATCAGTCAGATCCATCAAATACACAGGACTCAGAATCTTGATGGGTTTTTATCCCTAATGCAAGAGTACTGTGTCGTTTCCCCATTGGCTAGGGTCTGACCTCACAGTCTTTCCTGGTTGACTAGTTTAAAAGAACCTGGACAAAGGAAGGGGGGAGAGCTCCACTGTCCCAGACCATCAGGTTTGGAAATTCATCAGGGCCTTTCCTTAAACAAAAGTCTTACAGAGTGTAGTGAGATTAAAAGATTAGAATTCCTTTTCATAAACCAGGTTTTACAAGGTTTGAAAGAAAAGACAAATATTTAATGTTTCTTACACAAGTGAAACCTCCATCACTGAGATATATCCTCAACTCTGTTTCTTGAGTCCTATGCTCTTTGAGCTTATCTCCTTTAGGCCTCAGTGAGCATCTGAATTCAAGGGTCAAAGGTAATAGGCACATGTGACAAATGGATGAGAGAGTAAAGTGCTGGCTTAGGTTAGAGCTGTCAGTAAGAGGACTTGTACTTTAGAGATGAAGGCTTTCTTGGGTTACTTGAGGCGTCTCTTGCTCTGCTGAGGCTAGATTTCCAGATCACAGAACCAAAGCTGTTTGCCAAGCACCTACCTGCTCTAAGCTTCACTTTGTCGATGCAAAAGTGTTTGGAAAATCAGGAGACCAGCAGTCCAGGTTAGGTGAAAAAGAGTGAGTTTTAGTCAAGCTGGTGAGCTGACATCCTGATCATTCTGTAATGGTGCCAGCCCCTAGCCCAAACTTTTGGGGAAATTTATAGTCAGTTTATATGTGAGGAATGCAAGCAAAAGGCACATATGTGATAAGTGGTTACAAGTAGCATCTGGTACATAACATTTGGTCACAAAGGTTACAAGAATGCAGCAGTTTGGTGATCAAAGATTTTCAACCATGGGTAACTCCAGGGGTGAGGGAGGGAGTACTGTTTACCTCCCCCATTCTTATTTCTTATCTTGGGGTCTTTCTCTGTGTCCAGAGTTCTTAACAACCATTCAAAGTTCCTAGCAACCATCCTAAGGGTTTCAGTACCATCACATTACAAGAGTTTTTAGCAACCATCTGATGTTCTTTTATTTCCATGAAAAAAGCACAACTCTTACCTCAAAAGGTAAAAGATATAGTTTATTCTAGAGCCAAATATGAATGACCATGGTCCAGGGACACAGATTCATGGAACAAATTCCATGTTTTAATGCTGAAGTAGTTTCATGAAGTTTTTATAGTAACAAAACAAGGAAAGGCATAACTCAAGATATCTTTCAAATACAGTTGTAGAAACATTAAGTAGGTAGTCACAGCAAAGAGCACTCCCAGCTATGGGCCTCAGGATGCTATCTGATAGCACTCAGCCCTTTGGTTGGTGGGAGCTAGGGCTTTGTTAAGGTAATACTATCCAAAAGATTTTTATGTGTTAGTCCCAGGGTGTTAAGTCAGAAACAGAGGTGGGCAAGGAGTTGCTATTTGGGGCTAAAGATTACCCAAGATAAATTGTAAATAGGCTCTGGATCTACAACATTCTATAAACTCTCCACAATCACTGAAGTTCTAATCAGTTGATCAGCCTTTGCAGAGTTCAGTTTTTTTTTAATAGTTTTAAAATTTTTTATTTATTACTTGTATTTTATGTGTATGAGTGTATTGCTGCATGTTTGCAAGTGCACCCATGTTATGCAATGCCGCGGAAGTCAGAAGAGGGTGTCGGATTCCCCTGGAACTGGAGTTAAAGATGGTTCGTAGCCACCATGTGGGTACTGGGAATTGAACCTGGGTCCTCCGCAAGAGCAATCAGTTCTCTTAACTGCTGAGCCATCTCTCAGAGGTCTGTTTTAAGATGTAGTTTTTCTGGGAACTTTTGTTCACAACTTTTTCTTCCCTAACACAGTTTGCCTAAAACTGAAGCCATATTCTCCTTCAAGAGCTGCTCTATTCCCATTATTTTATTTTGATGAGTGGCCCACTATAATTTAGATTCATTCTCAAGGCAGAAATATGACGTTTCAGTTGCTCCTTCACATTCAATTAATATACTTATTAATTTCATTTCCAAATGTATCCAAAAAATCCCTCTTGAACTTTTTCTCTTCTGGTCTCTTCTTTCCAAGTCATTTATAAGTTCTCACCTATCTCTACTCAAGCTTCATAAAAGGGCAAAGTGAACTTTCCATGATGTGACAGTGTTCTATCACCCTCTGGAGCGATCCTGCTCAAAATCACTTTCTGCATGAAATTCAAACATTTAGATATGATCTGACTGGCTTTGCTTAGTTTTGTGGCATCACTCCCTTCCTCTCCCAACTTAGCTAGTGTTTCCCTCTCAGTAATATCTGCCTTTCTTTGCAGAGCTCACTTATTAAGCAGTTCTGCCTCACTTCCTTTGGAAGGCTTTTTCTTCTCTTTAGGGGTGCTATGGTTTTGTTCATTTTAGAACCATCCATTAGCACACACTTTACTCACAAGTTCTACCAGACAGTAGTGCCATTGAAAGTTTATCACACACTGAAATGCTTGAAGACCTTTTTGCTCATTTGTAAACTTGTGCCTAAGAGATAGTGGGTGCTCAATAAATGTTGAATGAATGAATGAATGAATGACATTGTATGGCTGTTTCCAAAATAAAAGCATAAAATTTTTAGGTGCATTCTTTAAAAAAAATTATCTATCTATCATCTATCCATCCATCCATCCATCCATCCATCCATCCATCTAATCTCCTTTGTAATTCTGTTTGAGGGAGGCAGTAATGGAGGTCCAGGATTCTGCATTGTGACAATTTTGGGATGATTTTCATGTAGTAGATTCAGGAGATGCACCCTGAAAAGTCTTATTATTGCCAAGGGCAACTTTCTTTTTTTAAGGGCCATGTCAGAAAACATCTCAAGAATGGAGGCCAAAGCATGCACAAGACTAGTGCAAATCCAAGCTGGACAAAAACCCAGCATGAATAGAAGTTGGCAAGAAGCCCTAGTCCTAGCTGGTCGTCTATTGGCAATTGATAGATGCTAGGAGAGGGAGAGTAAGCTTTCCTTACTGGTATGTGGCCTGGTAGGGTGACCAGACTCCAAGGGATAGACCCAGACCCAAGAGCATGTAGAAAACACAGATTAGATTCAATAGGCCTTAAAAAAAGGGACAAACAATAACAGAGGACATGAGGGGGGATGGGTAGTTGGGTGCGGATGGAGAACGGGGAGGGGGTTTGACTATGATAAAAATACATTGAATGGCAGTTTTGAATCAATTAAAATATTTACAAAAATGGAGACCAAATGCTATTTATCTAGGCAAATTCCTAAACGCAAAACACGTTGGTGAGTGAAAAAATGAAAATGTATGAAAGTAGAGTGCAGAATCAGCCATTTTGGCACACAGATCTTGCCGGCTCTCACTTCTAGAAGCCGCATTTTCAAGTGGACCATCTGGGACAGATCCTCCCAGCCTGTGGAATCACGCTGGACTACATTTCCCATGGTTCCAAGCTAACCCCGCGCAGGCGCACTTAGAAACGCAGGGCGCCAGTTTTCTTTCCAGAAACCTGCAGGTCCCTTGCTGTGGTCCCGCCCAGATCCGCCCCTCCTACTGTCCTGTCCTGGCACACTGAACCCGGGGGCATTGCCAGTGTGTATGTGTGTGTGTGGTGCAGGCTGGACTCATGGCTTCGCCGCTGAGATTCGACGGTCGTGTGGTCCTGGTCACCGGAGCCGGGGGAGGTGAGACTTGCGGACTCGGGGATGGCCGGGGAACTGCTATGGCGGCCTCGAGGCTCTGCAGCCGCAGCTGGGAGAGGCAGGGCCGCTGGCAGGCAGGTGGGCCGGGCTGCCCCCAGCTGGGAGGGAGCTTCCGAGGCCCACAGCCTTCCTGGGGGAGACGCCAGCCTGGTTCGTCCGTGCACAACTGGGGAAAAGTTCGTCCCCGCCACTGTGTTGACATTGACTGTGACTTTTGCTGCCATTGGTAGCTCAGGCCTCTGCTAAGTCACTTACACTTGAAAAGCCATCTTGAGCTGGCATTCCACCTGAGGAGTTGAGACAGCAGCCCCTCAACTTTGAATGATCAGTGGTGTAGTGTTTTCCTTGGCCGCATGGTTCAAGTTCTTGCTTACTAAGAAGAGCCTCGCTCCTTGGCGTTTGTATTCCATGTTTAGCAAGACATGCACCAAAGTTCACTGGAATTGTGGCAAAGGTCTCAAACTCAAATGTGTGAAAGAGTGCGGTAGATGATACAGGGATAAAATGAGAATGCAGAGCCGCTTGTGGTGGCGCACATCTTTAATCCCAGCCCTCGGGAGGCAGAGGCAGGCAGATCTCTATGAGTTCAAGGCCAGCCTGGTCTACATAGTGAGTTCCAGACCAGCTGGGGCTACAGGGAGACTGTCTCAAAAAGACCAAAAAGGAAAAAAAAAAAAGAAAAAAAGAGAACGCAATGGAAAGAGTGGAGAAGTGGAGAGGAAAAGCATTTCGGAAGGGAGGCAGCCGGTGTAAAGGTGCTAACCTTCCTATATTTAAAAATGGAAAATTGTTATTAAAGCAGCCCCATCTTTGAAGGACAGAAAATTAACTCACACCTGCATAGTTGGGTAAGATTTCTCCATGCCAGTGGCTGGCCTCTAATCTTCAGATGTAGGATCTTAACTTGACCATTGATTGCTTACCCGTAGTGCCTTGTATGTAAAGAGGATCTCATGCACCGATTATTATTGAGATAGGGTTTCATGTGGCCCAAGGTGGCCTTGAACTCCTGATTTTCCTGGCTCCACTTCCCAGATTTCAGCATACTGTGTGTGCCATCAAAACTGGGCTTGAATTGTTAGGATTATATAAAAGTCACCAGCACTGGAATTCTGTCATTTCATGTGTACATCCACAAAGTGGATGCTTAAACTGCTATTCAGATAGTTCAGTATTAACTGGTATTCAGGAATAATTTTACCTTTTGCTTTTAATGGAAACAGTGTCCTGCACTTTGTGCTTTAAGTTTCTTTTGACATCAGTACCCAACACGTGCATGCTTACACACACACACAGACACACAAACACACACACACACACACATATATGTATATTTGAACAGGTTAACGACATACTGCATAGTAAATGCCATGCATTCTGAAATTTTCTGTTTTCTATTTTTGAAATAAGTACTGATTATGACCCACCAAATTGATTTTGTGAAACATTAATGAAATATGGCTAGATAATTATGAACTTAGTACCTTCTGCTCATAAGCTGGCTGAGTTCTTATTCACAGTAGATTCAACTCTAAAATAAGTTATTTGGTAATGTCTTCTAACTCTGGAAAACTTTATTTTCTGGTTCTTTTGGGGGCAAGTCTGATTAATTTATCCATCTTAATATATTTGTACACTTACCACTTTATCCTAGAGGTACATTGCCTGTTAAGTTTCTACATTTATCACTGAAATTTGTCAACTAAAATAAAAAAATTTAAAGTTCAAGTTTAAACAATACAAAAATCTTTCATCACTGGTTACTGACCACACAATTCAGTGCTCCAAAGGTAATCACTAATTGCTAGTCTCTGGTATTTGCAAGTAAAATGATTTCTAGTTGATAATTGCATTCTAAAGGTTCTGTGCAGGTTATAGAAATCATATGTTTTAAAAAGGAAAGAATTTAACAGAAGCATTTGGGTTTGAGGCAAGTTTTTAAAAATATTATTATTTTTTTATTTTATGTGTATGAGTGTATTGCCTGCATGTACGCAAGTGCACCTGTGTCACGAAATGCCTGGGGAGGTCATAAGAAGGTGTCAGATTCCCCGGAACTGGAGTTACAGATGGTTGTTAGCCACCATGTGGATGCTGGGAATTGAACCCGGGTCCTCTACAAGAGCAGCAAGTGCTGTTAACCTTTGCACCATCTCTCCAGCCCCTTATTTTTATGTGTATGAGTGCCTTGTCTTCATGTATGTAAGTATACCTGTGGCATGCAGTGCCCTCAGAGGTCAGAAGAGGGTGTTGAATTACCTGGAACTGGAGTTACAGATGGTTGTTAGTCACTTTGTAGGTGCTAGGAACTGAACCAGGTTCCCCTGCAAGAATAGCCAGTGCTCTTAACTGCTGAGCCATCTCTCCAAGCCCTGAGGCAAGTTTTTGGAAAAATATAGAACTTGTCTGCAAAATGAGTCAGATTTTGAATCTGCCTTGGAGCTCTGTTATAGCCCAAGTTGCACAGGTCACCAGGGACCTGAAGGTAGAGAGCTGCCATTTGAAGATTAGGAAACTATATCAAGAGGTTGACTCCTCAGCCACTGTTCTTAAACACCTAGGAAGTCTCAAAAAATTAGCTTCTTAACTGCCAGAGGTCACAGTAAGGTGGCACCTGACTCACTCTACTTTTTATATTTTGTACAGGTGCACCTCATGGTGGAATCCAGCTCACACCTGGCCTTCTAGCAGCCAGGGACAATGCTAGCAAATAGTAGGCAAAATAGGTGTGAAAACATAGTTTTAACCTTTGTAACTTTGTCAAAGCAGAAGAGGGTAGGAGGAGGCTGAGTGTACCAATGAAGACTGTCTTCTACTGTAATTAGTCGCTCACTTATTACTTTAAAATGGGGGTCTAGTTGCATGGACTGAAATAATTATACTAACACTTCAACTTTTTGATTTTGTTTCTGATTAGGATTGGGCCGAGCCTATGCCCTGGCTTTTGCAGAAAGAGGAGCGTTAGTTGTTGGTAAGTTGGTATATTTTTCTCTTGAATTAGTAGCTGTTACAATGTTCATAAGCTACTTTTGTCTGTCACATAATTTGTCAAGGTTTAATTTCATCATTTTTACTTCTGCCAGAATTTTTTTTACACTTTTAATGCTGACTTTTTTTTTTTTTCAAGGTTTACTTTTTTACTCTTTTGTTTTTGAGACATTTAGCTTATGTTGGCCTCAAATGCCCTGTGTAGCTGAGGATGATCTTGAATTCTTGAGCCTCCTGCCTCCATCTGCCAGGTGCTGAGATTATAGGTATTCACCATTATGCCTCACTTAACTTAATTTCTAAAATTACCTTCATAAACATTCTCATTTAAAATAATTGATAAAGATGTATAAGCATTCATTATATAAAAGGAAATTCTTGACTTCAGTCTTTTGGGCTGTAATTTTTGGAGGTAGAAAGTGATCCATTGATAAGATTAAAGGAGAATTCCTGCAAATATATTAGTAAAAGTAAGAAATAATTGAAGTTTGAAGTTTGGAGCCAGGAAACCAAAAAAATATGGATTTATCTATTTTTTTTTAAATGCAACTGAAAGCTTTTTAAAAATTAAAAAATTGAATGCAGATGTATTATTTACTTTTCTGTTGCTGTGATAAAACACCATAATCAAGGGAACTAATAGGAAGAAGAGTTTATTTGAGCTTACATTTCCAGATTCTAGAGGGATTAGTTTCCATCATGATGGGGAAGTGTTGTGAGATGGCCAGAGCAGGAAAATGCTTACATCTTCAAGCAGGCACAGGAAGCAGAGAGCTGCTGGAAATTTGATAGGGCTTAAGCACTCTCAAAGCCAGCCCCCAGTGATTCATTCCCCCCTGCCCAGCAAGGCCACACCTCCTAAAAGCTCCCCAAATAACGCCACCAACTGGGGGCAAAATGTCCAAACATATGGCACCTATGGAGGACATTCTCATTCAAACCATCACAGCAGGGTCTATTATGAGTGTTAGTTTTATGATGGGGTTTGGGACAGTTAGTTTGAAAGATGCTGGATTAAAGAATCCCAGAGGTTTTAGTAGCCTAAATAGTTAGAACTGGCCTGATGTGTTTGGAAGTTGGTGTGGATACATGAGCCAATTTGTCCACAGTTGTGGGGAATGAATGAGCCTTAGGGCAGGGGAGTGTATAGGGCAGAGACTAGGACCTGTTGATATTTTGTAGCATCTTTCCTAGGATAAAATTGTTGGCCCACAGTGACCTCCTAAAATTTGACTTTGTAATAGTTGACAAAGCTATGTATTTCAATCTTTCTTTGCCAGATTTTCTTGAGAATATTTCATGTCCGGGCCTAAAAACACAGGCTGTTACTGTTTTTCTTTCCTTGTGTGCTATTTAATTCTTATTTTTATCTTTGATATTTTTATTTATCACATACCTTTGACTCAACTTTTGAATGTACAAGGATCTTGTTTTATTGTTTCTGTCTTCTAAAGGACCCTAGATTATTTCCTTATTACAGAAAGTACTTTGTTCATTGGTATTTTTATCATTGACACGTTCTTTTCTGGAGGAGGGTCTGTCTGTATGAGATTGGGTGAGTAAATTTCATTTTTTTCTTTTGACTAAGATATAAACTTGTTTCAAGCTAGGCGTGGTGGTCCATTCCTGTAATCTCAGCACTTAGAAGGTGAAGGCAGTAGGGTCAGGAATTCAAGGCCAGCCTTGGCTACCTAGTGAATTCAAGGCTAGCCTAAGCTACATGAAATCATGTCACAAAAAAGTCAAACCAAACAAAATCAACCAAACAAAATCCCACAGAACCCTTTCACCCTCAAAACTCCCAAAAGTTATTTCACAAATCATTTTATAGCAGGCCAGCTTGGGCTATACATTAAGGCTATTTCTCAGAGTACCAAAGGGGAATACATTGCAGTGATAAAATTTAGGCAGATCAGTTTTTCTTCTTTCCATATTGCCTTTGATTTTGTTAGATTCAGATGATGAGTGTTTGAGATCAGAGAAGAGATAAAATGCACAGGAACAATGTTTATTTTTCTCACTGTGTTTTGATGGTCACTGTGGTATTGCAGCAAGTCCCGGCCAAAAGTTCAAGGAGGCAGAATTAAAATATTTCCTAAATCTGCCTTTAGTTTGGTGTTCAAACAGCAGAAATCAGTCTTTGTGAGGCTGCAGAACTCTCTCTCTCTCTCATCTGTCATTATTTTTGAAAGTTTTGAGACAGGCTCTTACTTTGTAGCTCAGTCTGCCCTGAAAGCTGTTATGTAGCCCTGATTGGCATTCAACTTGTGGTCCTCCTGCCTCAGCTTTCCAGTTGCAGGGATTATAAATGTGTACCATCATTGCTGGGTTTGAGACTGCAGAGCTTTTGATCAATAGCTGCCCTTTTTAAACCTGTGTCCTCCTTGTATAGTTTGTGGGCCATGAAGACATTATGTTCCTTCCTAACAAGCACCTTGCTGTACTTTAGCATTTTTCATTCATACATAGACATCCTGCTTCTAGGCTGCAGTGTGTATGGTGACTTCTATGTTAATATTTTCCTGTTCATGATGGTTCAGACTATCTTGTTTCTTGAATAGTGATAAGTCAGATATCCTATCTTAAGAAACAGGGCCTGGAGAGATGGCTTAGTGGTTAAGAGTACTCACTGGCTGCTCTTAAAGAAGACCCAGGTTTGGTTCTCAGCACCCACATGGTGGCTAACAACCACCATAACTTCAGTTCCAGGGAATCTGATGCCCTCTTCTGGCTTCTGGGGCATTACATACACGTGGTGCACATACATATAAACAAAATACTCATACACATAAAATAAAAGTAAATTATATGAAAAAAGAAATAAAGCAGCTTGTTTCTCAACTTATGCTAGGTTGCGATGAGTTCACAGCCTTAAATCTTAATGGCTTATGGTAATAAAGGGTTATCCCATGTTTATTCACCATTCAGCTGTGCCTGTGCTGTGTCCCAGCCGAAGGAACAACGCTTACCTGGAGCATTGCCACTATTGGGTTAGAGGGAACATAATGATGGATCTGTTTAGTGGTTTTTGAAGGTTTTGTTCAGAGGTGGCATGCTACTTCTCAATTTTCTAAAAAGTATTTATTATTTTAATTTTGCGTATGAGTATATTGCCTGTATGCATGTAAGTGCACCTGTGTTGTGCAATGCCTGTGGAGGTCAGAAGAGGGTGTTGAATCCTCTGGAACTGGAGTTATGGACAGTTATCTGCATGTGAGTGCTGGGAATTGAATCCAGATCCTCTGCAAGAGCAGCCAGTCCTCTTAACCACTGAGCCATCTCTCCAGCCCCTCCACTGAGATTTTATTGAGCCAACCCCTCAACCAAGCCTGAAGTTAAGTGCATCATTTAAGATAGTTTCTAATTTCATGTTGCTATGAATGCTGTGCTTTATATTTCATAATAGAAAGTGTGGAATATTTAAATTTGGGTATAAGATTTTCTTTTATTTTAACTAAGATACAAACTTAACTTTTAAACTTGTTTCAAGCCTACTGTGGTGGCACATGCCTGTGATTCCAGCACTTGGGACTTAACATTCTAACAATCTATATTTGATTTTATAAAAATTACATTTTTCAGGGCCGAAGAGATGGCTCTGCAGTTAAAGAGCACTGGCTGCTCTTGGAGAGGACCCTAGGAACCCTAGTGGCTCCCAGCACCCACATGGCAGCTAAGAACTGCCTGTAGTTCTAGTTCCAGGGGATCTGACACACTCTTCTGGTCTCCATGGACATTGTATGACAGGGGTTCACTTATACACATGCATGAAAAAGACTCATACACATCACATAAAAAAATTACATTTTTTTGGGAAGGGCTTGTGCACATATCTGAAGTGCTGCAACCTGATTAGTTCTGAAGTCTCTTCAGAAGATGAGCCATATCTACTTCTCGGAGTAATATTTTATCTTGAGAGCGTGAATGTGAGACAGACTGAGGTCTTCCATCAGAAACCTCTTCTTAGAAGATCAGAAAGTTTTATATTCTTGAACTGGAGAAGTTACACCTTGAGTGAATTAATCTTACGAACTAAGATTGGCATGATTTCTCCATGCTGCAGTTACATGGGAACTGAGTCTTAAATTTCTGTGAGCTAGTAGCAGAGTGTTTAAGCTCTCATATGATCCCGACAGCTGGAAGGCATCGTTGGTGCTGAAAGTGCATTGATTGTACTTGAAATCAGGTGAAGGGTCAAATTCTAAGTGTTGCCTGCTTACATGATCTTGCATCTTCCTTAATTCCTAGTATTATAGTGAGATTAATTACATGAAAGATTAAAGACCTTTATAAAAAGAAGACAAAGGAACCGGTATTTACCTGCTTACTGCACTGGGCACCGTGTCCTAGACCAGGACATAGTTCATTAGAGAACCTTTGCTTCTTTCTTATTGATGAGGCAGTGAAAGTTAAAGGTATTGCTATAGCTTGAATGATGGTGTTGAAACAATCCCAGCTCTACTGAGGTGTGGCCTTCTGAAGAGGGTTAAGTCCTGAAGGCTCTGCCCTCATGAAGGAGATTAGCACCCATCTAAAAGGGTTTAGGGTTGAAGGGAGTGCTCCTTTGTCCTTCTGATTCTGTCAGATATGCCGCAGCCTTTCTCCCCTTTGGAGGATACAGCTGTAGACCATATACTCATTTTTGGGCCTCAACATCTCAATCACCAGAACTGAAAATTTTCTATCTGTGGTGTTTTGTCATAGTCAGGGACCAAGTCAGGGACCTTAATTCAAGATTTTGCTTTCTGAACTGCCCCTGCATTTGAATTCCTTTACATAGATACTTTTGTTGCCAAAGCCCAGCTGCAGGAGATCCTAAAACCTGAGTGGGAAGGGTAGGGAATGAAGGAAAAAAAGACACAGACCCAGAAACAGCTGGGATCAGGAGGACCTGTAGGCTGATGACCAAATGGGCATTTTATTATAGGATAACAATGCTTTTATACCTTGCCTCAAAGCAGGAAAAAAAAAAAACAAAAAAAC